AAGGTATTTAAGGCTGATTGTCTTTTGGGAAGAAAGTATCCTTTTTCTTCGCTATCGCTCGCCTTTGTAGAGGCTTGCTCTATCATTTTCTGTCGCATACTATATATTTCTTTGTGTTTTTTAAATAAAAAAAAAAAAAAAACAAAATTTAATAGTTGCGTTTAGCACATATAGTACTTTACAAGTATTGGAATATGTCTATGAATCGCTCAATGAATGCCAGGAGTTGGACAAAGCTAACTTTAACCGAGTTGAAGGACTTGTGTGCAGCTTGTGGCCTCTCTGTGGAGGGTAATAAGGAAGAGCTAGGCGAAAGACTACAAGCCTATTTTGACAAAAGGAGGGATAAAGAACCAGAGCCGCAGCCGAGAGAAAATAATAAAGGTCGAGAGTCGGGGGTCAGAGATCCCAGAGATAAGACAGGAGAAGCAGTAGATGTGAATTTGGATGCAGATGGAGGTGGTGATTTCGAGGATGATTTGATGAAGAATCCCAGGAAGTAGATAATGGAATTAGAGAGGAATTCGAAGCACATTTTAAAGGAAAAGAAAAAATAAAATTAGTTCCTGTCGACGTTTTTCTGACTGCGTTAAGTAGCATCAAGAGAAAGATGGATAGAAGCTTCTCTGCGTTGTATAGGGAGATTGAAGATGGAGATGGGTTAGATGAGGCGTGGCTGAAGGTAAAATTTTCGAGAGCACGTGACCAGTACGAGTATAAATTTTTGACGAAAATTGGTAGATGTTTGGATAAGGCAATTAGGATATTGCTGGATTCTACTAGAAAAGAATTTGTTGGTGTACGTGATGAAGTTAAAGCAAGGGCTGTTACATTAAGACTAGCAGATAACAAAGGGTGGAGTACTACTCTGCAGATAGTAGGGAGTAATGATAAGATAATGGATAAATATAAGGACCGTATACCATTATTTGGCCAGGCAGGGCAAACTCCATGTTCGTATAGCTGGAGGTACAGGAGAAGGGCTCGTAGGTATCAGCAAAAGAGAAGGAGAGAATCACCTACTTCATCGGATTTGGAAAGGGATTATTATGAGAGGAGTAAGAAAAAGGAGAGAAAAATTTTATCCTTTCAGGCCAGAAATTTCTATGGCTACTCAGATCGACAAGGAACAATTACCTGTTATAACTGCGGAGGTATTTGACA